TGACATGTTTGTCCATGGAGAGGGTGTCCGTAAGAGTGACTCCAAGGTTTCTGGCAGAGGGAGAGAGTGTGATGTCAGAGTTGCCAATAGATATAGAAGAAGGAGCGAATGGAGGGAGAGGTTTGTTTTGAGAGTGGATGAGAAGGATTTCCGTTTTATCATCATTTAGCTTCAGTTTGTTGCAAGTCATCCAACGCTTTACATCGTCCACGCACTCCTGTATGCGAAGGATTGTGGCATCAAGTTGATCAGGAAAGCAAGAGTCACTGATTTGAGTGTCATCAGCAAAGGATTGACTGGAAACTGAGTGGTGGCTAATGAGAGATGATAGAGGTTTAGTGTAGAGGATGAAAAGGACCGGCCCAAGGACCGATCCTTGAGGAACTCCAATAGACAGGGCTGAAGGTTTGGAAGAGCGGTTGGAAATAGAGACTTTTTGAGTTCTGTCAGAAAGATATGATTGAAACCAGTTTAAAGCTGAGCCAGTAAGTCCGAAAGAAAGATGAAGGCGGTCAAGAAGAATCTGGTGGTCAATGGTATCAAATGCAGCAGAGAGATCTAACAGAGTGAGAATAGAGAGTTTGCCATCGTCCATCGCTCGCAGGAGGTCACTCATGACTCGGACCAGTGCTGTTTCTGTGCTATGTCCAAGTCGGTAGGCGGACTGAGAGGAAGGATAGAGATTGCGAGAATGAAGATAGCCAGAGAGCTGAGAGAGTATGAGTTTTTCTATGATTTTTGAGAGAAAGGAGAGGTTGCTGACGGGGCGGTAATTCTTGAGTGTGTTTGGATCAAGTGAGGGTTTCTTTAGGAGGGGCAGGACAATCGACCGTTTAAAAATGGGAGGGAGTTGCTCTGGTGCAATGTCAGTAGGGAGGGTGAAATTCTTGCTGTTGCCCAGGAGACGGTTACTAGCGCTGAACAACGCCTTGGTTGATGCACAGGATTCGACCTTTGAGCTCCAGTAGTCATCCTTTGCCTTCTGTACAATCTCTGCCACCGCATCTTTCGCCGTCCAAAAGATCTGTCTGTCGACACTCAGTCCAGTCTTTACCCAGCGTCTTTCAGCGCGTCTTCGCACGAGTTTTGCCAGACGGAGTTGGTCACTAACGCCTGCATACCATGG